TAACCTGATAAAAAAAAAAAAAGTATGTTTTAATTATTTTTCCTTTAAACTTATGTACTCCGTACATTATTTTCTCATCCTTTCTTCTAACATACTTTTACTTGGAAAGTTATCTTTTTCCAAGCAAGCCAAAAATTGATGGTTAAACGTCAAATTTAATTCCTTAATTTTAAGGTTTTATATAATTTTTATTTTTTAAGTTTTCATATAATTTTTTTTAAGATGAGAAATAAATTATACGAAACTTTAAAATTAAGAATTTAATAATATGTAGATATTAGTAGACTTGGATTAATTGATAAAAATATTAAAAAATATATTTCTTATAGTAAAAGAATTACAAACATATATAAAAAAATTAAAAAACAAAATTTATATGAAACTTGTTGAGAATCAAAATTACCATTTAACTAAATTTGATTGGGTGCAAATTAATGCAAAATCGGAAAGATAACAGCATTTAAAAAAAATAAAAAATAACAGTTCACAAAATAAATTATTGCCAAATAAATAAATAAATAAAAAAAAAGGAAGAAGGACAAGAAGAAGAAAAGTCTCTTTAATCACAATCGTGGCATCAAACGAAGCCTGCTTTCTGTAAACGAATTTTGGCATCTACGATTCTATTCGACGAATCTATTTTCTCCCTCCCTTTAATAAAGAGCTTTGATAGTTCTCTCGGTGGTGTTTTGGATCCTTTGAGCGACTCTGATTATCTCCGCCGGAATTCTCAAACGTGCTTTGCTTTGTTTCTCTTACTTTCTTCCTCCTTGTCTGGATGGTTGTTCTTTAAATCATGTTCTAATTCTTGCTTCTCTTGTGTCTTTCTCAGCATCGGCTCTGATTATCTCCGCCGGAATTCTCCATTTATAGAAGAATCCCCATCTGGGATTCGCTCATCAGTTGGTGATTCTTCAATTTCAGGTACTTTTTCCACATTTTTTTTAACACCGTAGCCATTTTGGTGGGTATTATTTACGAGCGGAGGAAAAGAGAAGAATGATTTCTTTTTCCTGTAAAAGAGAAGATCTTTTGGAATTTTTTGGCTCACCTTTCATTTGATTTTAAATGGGACTGAAAATCTCATTTACCTTGTTAATTGATTTTTTTGATAAATTTTTGTCCTGTTGATTCAAGCACGAGATGGATGGTTTGAAACAAGGTTTGGAGCACGCAAATGTGTCATCTGAAACAATGGAGAAGCATACAGGGTGTTCTTCAAAGGAGGGGAAAGGGAAGAGATTGTGGAAGAAGGTTAAGTATCAGCTGGTAGAGTACCATTCTTTGCCAGGGTATTTGAAGGACAATGAGTATATTGTTGGTCATTATAGATCAGAATGGCCGTTGAAGCAGATTTTGCTTAGCATCTTCACCATTCACAATGAGACACTTAATGTTTGGACGTAAGCTTTATTTGCTAACTAATTACATCTCAATGTTTCAGAGAGTTGATTGCTTTGTTTTCTTCTTGTTTGCAAGGAATATTTGGTTGGTTCTACTTGGATTTCATGGTATTGTTTGTACGTCTAAAGGAGATTGGCCTTTTAGTTATACTAATGTTTTAATGTTTATGCCTGGAAATGGGAAGAGTAGTATTGGCTATTGAGTTTTATAGGAAAGAAACAATCCCATTTGCTGCTGCATATTTGGAATTTGGAGCTAGGTTGTGTTTACTTGCTGTGTTTGTCCTGTCTCCAGTAAAATTGTTACATTCTGATACACTTTGAATTTATGTGTGTGTTTTTCTGGGTCTTTTCTTAAGCCAATTTGAATTTGTGGTTTTAATTTGTTCTCTCGTATATCTCTCCATGTTTATATTCTACCACATTTTAATTCCTCAATGATGACTGTTGCAGTATTGGTTCAGAGATTGAGACATCTTGACCCTATTCAATGATTTTGTTGAGCATAACTTGTTTACTGTTGCAGGCATTTGATTGGGTTTTTCTTCTTCCTTTCCCTTACCATATACACTGCTATGAAGGTTCCAAGGGTTGTTGATCTTCATTCGCTGCAACAAATTCCTGATGTGTTGAGGAGGGCCGATTTGCACAAACTGCATGCAGAACTCATGACATGCCTGCCCTCCTTACCCCACATGCCTGACCTGCACAAACTTCGGGAGGAATTAAAGACAACATTACCTTCAATGGATTTACTTCCTTCACTCCAAGGATGGAATTTTATGGAAGTCCTATATAATTGCTTGCCTGAGAGATTCTCCAATGGAAACTACACTGATGTTTGTGTTCTGGTAGCACTCTTCTCTTCTTTCTTGATGCCACATTAATATGTTATACGCTTATTGCTACTCTTTACACGAATTGATTGTTTTTACCTTGTTTTGATAATAACATTAGTTGGTGAAGT